CGGGTGGAGGAGGGGGGGGGGACCTCCATAGTAACCACATGGATATAATATGGATCCGGGACGCTACGAACGTCATTGATTAGTGCATCGTTACCACTCTCCGCTTGCACGCACGAACTCACGCGGATACGCACGCTCAGAAACTCAAATATCCCTCTTTCACTGCACGCTATTTACTTGTCCTCTACAATTACACCACGGTCACTGGCATCGTCTTCGATGAGAAAGCTTCAGCTTTAATTGGTGACTTGGAATCGTCGAACGAGAACTGACTTTTTTTTATTTATGGGGAATCTGAGATCACCTTTCTCTAATTTTGCTGTAAAAAAAAAAAGTCGTAAAAAAAAAAGTCGGAGACCCTTTGAAATTCGCGAGCTGAAATCATTAATAGGGCATTCATGGTTTCTGGTTCCGATAAAGGATTTAACGCACGGCATTAAAAACGAGGGCTGGAATGCAAACTAAGTGGACGGAACAGGACAGTGACCAGACAGAAAAAGACGGCGATAAGACAGAACAGGATCTGCGATCTGGGTCCCGGGGCCAACAACCTTTCGTGATCCCAAGGAAAAAATGAAAAATTATGATCGAACCCGTTGCTTACCTGCATTTGAAGAAGGCGACTCGTCATTCTTGGTATTTTTTATTATTTCACTTTTTGTTCTCAGATCCGGACCTGAAAGACAGGAGAAATTTTTTTTTCCATCATCCTTATTTTTTTTACCTCTCACGACCGTGAAAGCAGATTGCGATTCGGCGTGACAAAATTGAGAGGTAAAAAAAATAAGGATGATGGAAAAAAAAATTTCTCCTGTCTTTCAGGTCCGGATCTGAGAACAAAAAGTGAAATAATAAAAACAGGGTTTGCAGGATTGCAACACGGAGAAGCGAATGTGGGTCTGATGAAAAGGATAACTCGGACCCCCGCTTGGTTAGGCAAGTAAAACAACTCGAAGCCTCACCTTTTGTGGTGAAACCGACGAATTCACAGCGGCTGGGCCCAGCCGCGTTTTGTCACTCCGCATTCAGAGCAGAACGCAGCCACTCGCTGGATTCCATCTGGAAGGGAGGATGACAGTTAGTGAGCGATGGTAATTGGTGACTAGAGGGTAATTGCTGGATGCGTTTCCGTCTCTCCTGTTCCCCTTTTCGGCCACGACGTGCCGGAATCCGTGGGGCGGAATTCGCGAAACAGAACCGGTGGGGCGGAATTCAAGGGACGTAATGCTCGGTTAGGGTTACGGTACCTCGTTACGACCTTGCGGACGCGCATTAGACGGAAGAAAAGAAAAATCGGGACCCTGACTCTCTAACAATAGGAGACGAAATGCCACGGTGCACATGATCGGTCAGAGACCGGAGTTCTGCTTCATCACTTCTGCCTGCCTTTTTCCTCAAAGTTTTCTTGCCTTCGGGAAATCTGGGCGTGGATCTCTGCTTGGAAGTTACGGGGGCGGCTGATGAGCTCTGATGACCCCTTCAGGGGAATCACTTCAAAGAGTCTCCCACCCTAAAGACTCTTCCACGTCGAAGAGTCGTCCGCACTAAATAGTCCTTTTTTTCATCACTAGCCACAAGGGAAACCTTAGAATGCAAATGCATCTGCCGCACAAAGGAACCGACTCGAACGAGATGCGAATGGCACCGTCGATGTGTTTCTGAGAATCCCCTTACAAAGATCCTGGGTTAGATAATGTTTGGTCGATGCTCCGCGACCTCTCGGGAAAGCAACCCCAACGGGGTCAAGCGAATTGCGTCACTCCGTTGCATTCCGGCCTCGAGTGCGGACGACCGCAGACCTTATGGACTTAAATGGCCTCAATAGCGGCGCATAACGTAAATGCGATCACGCGAGAAATCGATAATCGGCAGAAGCCCAAAACGATAACTAATCTTGTCGAATTCTCCGAAATCGAACGGAACCCGCAAACAGCACCCGATCACCGACGCAAAACAAAGACGAAGTCAAGCAGATGCTTACGTGGGCGAGGCCGACGTGCGACTGGACGCGTGTGGATGGATGCGGGCCCCTTCCTTTCCCTGCGTGACGTCACCTCCATCCCCCCCCTATTCTCGAGAGACTCCGCCTCGACAGTGACTCATAAGGATCAAGGACGGGATGCTGCGGATCGCCATACACGGCGGATGGCGACGGCTGCGTCGCGTGTGACCCCCGCGTCACGTAATACGCCGAGTGTGTTTACGGGCAGGATAGCGGCAATTCGGAAGCTGGATCTCTCCGAGAGTTGGGCAGCGGGTCACGTGACGTGTTGGAACACTTTCGGACGTTTTTCGTCCTGGCCTGAAAATAACAAAAAAAAACCTGTCAGGAATGGGATTTGTTGTGGAAAGACCACATTTCTGATAAAATGACAAATGTAATCGATTAAACGCCTCATCACCGATCCGTCTCAATCTCTGGATCGAGTGCCGGGGATTTCCGGCGTGTTGCAACTCCGGAAGTTCCTTTTTTTGGTCTAAAATTAGCCAAATTGTCTTCAGAGTACATTACGTTTTAATGTTTCGATTTGAGTTTCGTTTGATGCCAATGCTGCCGTTTAAAGAATGCAACGAAGAGAAAATGATGGTTCTCGCTTTGACGCGTCGATAAATCGATGACGCCGGAAGTGCATCGTCCTGGGAGACATAGAATGAGTTTTCGACTGGAACGAATGCGGAATAAAGAATGAGAATGAGAAAAAGAGAAAGAAAAATGGACGACCGATGTCGGTCGCCCATCTGAGAAAATTTAAATTGAGAAATCTTCAGTAATCTCGAATGAAAAATCGACCGACGCGATCGGCTGGCATCGGCACAAAGGGTGATCAGCCCTCGCGGGGCTGATCCCGATCCACTAATCCTAATGACCCTCGTAATCCAGTTTCATTCGAACGCGAACGGTACGGCCCTAATGGCAAGGCACACGTTTACCCTCGAAGAGCGGGAGCAATGAATGAGGCGGGAAGAAAGCACTCCGCCACTTCTCGCTGCTGACACAGGAAGGGCATATTCGATTCGATAGAGTCTAGACGCTCCGAGACGATAGATTTTGTTATTGGTGGGTTTTCTGACACGAAGACGTGATGGGGTGCCGAATCGATGGGATTTCGGGGTAGAGTCGTCGCGAAAGCCCAGGTGGAAGCTGAAGAACATTTGTTAGATCGTTTGAGGAACGTTTCTGTGATCGCCAGGCGATGTGGGGCTTAGTGCGATGATCTCGGGTTTTCGTCGGCTGGAGAGAGCAAAATTTTCATTCTGCGGTTGGATTCTTCCAGAATGCTGAGAATAAGGTGGCCTTGTTCGGTGTGCGCTTTTCCCCGAATCCCCGAGTGCAGTGACGTAGCTTTTCGACGCGAATGTCCAGGAAAAACACTCGGTCACCACCGTTGGAAATCTCGGCCGTCCGCACGAGTCATCTGCGGACTTCGACATCACTCGTCCGCACCCGCGGTCCTGTGCCCGACTTGAACCTCCCCGTACCTGCGGGCCCGAAGTGAACCCGCGGGCCCGAAGTGAACCCGCGGACCCGACTTCAGTTCGCGGTGGGATCCGATCCGATGTAGAAGTCCAGGACGACTCGAGTGTCTACTGATTGTATCCGTTGATTTCCCATTTTATGCCTGTTCTCGTTCTCTTCAGGACGAAGAGAGGGCATTTTTCGTTCCACCTTCGTCTTGGATTGCCGTTTTTTTTAATCGGTTTCGGTCGCGATAACTTTGACGTGATGGGGTTTAGTCATATTTTCTGAATAATATTGTTAATTTTAATCATTATTAATTTTGCGTTTACTTATTTATTTTTAAATAATAACGAGGTTCTTCCAAGGACCGTCTAAGGGTGCATTTTTGAACAGAGCATTATCCGATAATGCAGCTTTATTTCGGAGAAAATGCATTATAAGTCCGGTAAATAAAGCTGCATTATCGGATAGTATTTTTAAATAATAACGAGGTTCTTCCAAGGACCGTCTAAGGGTGCATTTTTGATCAGAGCATTATCCGATAATGCAGCTTTATTTCGGAGAAAATGCATTATAAGTCCGGTAAATAAAGCTGCATTATCGGATAGTTCTCTGTTCAAAAATCCACCCTAAACGTTTATTTCTCTTTTCATGGTATTTCGCAGCCTCTGCAGAAGCCCTCCATCTAAATGGTGAAACGAATGCGAGTTCATTTCCCCTTTTTGAAATGCATTCATCCTGTAAAAAAAAAAGGCATTATATTCTCTTTCCGCTCGTATTGGCATCGCGAGAATGGGTGCGACGGAAATGGAAAACGAGGCATTTCGTCTCGCACATTTTTATTTCGACGACAAAAGTTTCCGGCATCAGTTTCCGCAGACGAAATCGGCCAAATTAGGGCCTTCGTTACTAACGAAGCCCTTTCACCCTCTCGGAGACCGAACGGATCCTTTGAGTTTGAAGCCGAGAAGTTTCTGAATGCCTTCTCGTTGAAGAATTGCGACATTTCGTTGGGAAAGACTCTTTTTCATAATCATAGGGTCGAATTCCCCGCTTTCATTGCGTAGAAAGATTATGGAGATCTCGCATGGATGCAATCGTCTTTTCTCGCTGACACCAACGAGTGACAAGTCATCATTAACACCTCATAGATGAAGAAACATCCCCAGATTGAAACCCCTTAATTGGCTTCAGCATGCCCCGATGCACTTTTCTGTTGGGGGGGGGGGGGTATCATTTCGCGTCATTCTGTACAGTAAATACAAACGAATTCTTGCCATAGGTTGGAGTGACTTCGTTGATGGGAGGTATTCCCTCGCTTCCCAGCATCCACAGTCGGTGCAATCTTCAACATGGCATGAATTCATTTGCAATTCAATTGCATATCCATTTAGATTTTGAGAGAGAGAGAGAGAGATGGGGGGTGGGGGGTAGCGAGATTGGTGGACATTAGCTGCAGCTGCCATCTAGTTTGAAAAAAGATACTGATAGTTTTCTAGTTGTCTACTAGAGTGTGGATGCTCACCTTACTCCCGCGCACGTTGCATCCGACTACTGTGACATAACCCACATGGCCGCGTACACGGTAAGGTCCCTCAGCAGGCGAGGCCTTTCGGCCGTAGTGGGGAGTGTGCTCGGATAAGCTCGTGGTCGTGGTTGAAGTCGAGGAAAGAGACGGAGCTTGTCGGTGTGGTTCGCGATCTTCGCTGCTTTCTCGGATCCATTCTGGAAAGCTTAGGCCTGGCGCTAGTTTGCATTCAGGAGGCCCATGCCATTAGCAACAAAAATGTGGCACGAAGCAAGGAAACAAGAGAAGAAGATACGGACTATGATAGTAGATTATCGCAAGAGAGCTGAGAGGAGAAGGGAATTTTACGAAAAAACGGTGAATAGAATCTTTCTAGAATGCATCTTATCAATTTCTTTCTACGTGTGTGAGTAATTGAATCTGCACTGACTTTCTGGTTTTCCCCTCTAGAAACAAGATCCTACAACATTTTTGCAAGTTCATGGCCGTCCATGCAAACTCTATATTGACAATGGATCTGCTGATTCTAGCATGTGAGTTCAGTAAGCTTTAATTGTGCAATTAAACTTTTCTGTATCCATTCAGGCATGTATTGTGTCAATATTGCATTTCTTCTGTGCATGGCTTTAATACAGGGCTGGTATGGTAGACCTTCAACAGGGGTGTTCATGAGAAGATCCAATAGCATGTCACTCTGAAGGTTTGGTGTTCTGGAAGTAAAAACTGAATACAAGATTGAATATTCACTATCAGATAAATTTGTTGCAAGGGTATGGCAATGGGGAGGATGAGTTCCATGATTTGTTCATTTGAAAGCATTGGACCTTTTCAAATTTCCCTTGGGTGCTCCCCTGCTGGGGAGTGGTCATCATGGTTGATGAGACAAGCATCTTGCTTGATCCCATTGTTATCCCTGGAAAGAAGTAACTGTCATTGTGTCAATAAAAGTGATGTAACCAATGAATTCAAGTTAAAGCCTGAGGTCAAATTCAATCAACAATATTTGGTCTAGCAGGTACTTGATGAGTCTGGTTGCATTTTGATTCCTTTTGTATCAAAAGGTACATTGAATGCTAAAATATACCTAAACAAACATTGAAAGATTCTCCTTCCTTTCATTGAGAAATACCACATGGGACAGGTCTTTTTCTGGATTAATATGACTCCTTGTCATCTTGCAAAAGTAGTCCATGATTGGCTGAAGTCCCCAGTTATCAAATTTGCGATCAGAGAGAATAATGCCCCCCAACTGTCTTCAGGCCTGACGCATTCAGCAATTTTGGGCCATTTGCAAAAACAGAAACTTGAAAAGAAAGGTGAAGGCCAAGAACCTTTTCACTCCTTCAAATTTGTTTCAACAAGTAGTGGTGAAGTGGGCAAAGACCTTATGAAACCGCTTCAAAGTAGGCTCAGAAGAATTGAATATCTAGGCATCTATGCTCATGTGAAGTGATGTTTTGTAAAGATTGGAAGTGGTCTCATGATAAAACTAAATTTGTAGTTTTTTTCTTATTTAGTTATTGAGTAAACTAGTAAACACAGAAGTCTGTCCTATTTCTTGGTCACCTCTTATACAGCCATGAGTAGAATGCAAACAGGAAAAAAGGCAAAAAACATTGAGTCAGGGAGGACCTGCTAATCTGAAGGAATGAAACTTGAGGTCCAGATCTAGGCTGCAGTCTGTAGGTTGAATGGCCCTGGCCTACAAACTTATAGTGGGCATGGCAATTGCCTTGCCTTTTGTGCTTGCTTCAGCAGTTTGCTAAGGTTCATCAAGGTTCATGATGACTACTGTGAAAGCCAGGTATTATCTAACAACCCATGAGTGTTATGCTTTGTCTTGTGGGGTAGGACATATTGAAAGCATCTTGACAGGAAAATGCATAAAACAGAAAGTTCCTTCCCTGTGATGAGAAACATTTTTTTTGTGAAGAAAATGCATGATCAATGACAGCAGGATCTTGATGCTCCTCCTGCCAGGATAAGATCCTAAATTGAGGCATGAAAATACTGAACACTGGAAAATTTGTGATTTGGTAGAATCAAATTCGCTTATGTGGAAGCATGTTAGGTGACTTTTTCAAAGATGCCTTAATTATTTATGGGTCAGTTCATCCAACTTCATTGTGCTGTGGGTTTTTTAAAATAAAAAAACTGACTTTTAGTCTAATAGAATGAAGAAAATGGTGTTTCATGAGAAAAATTAACACCTGATTTAATTTGTGACAGCAAAAATGAAGCTAAAACTCATTACATTGTTTGAAATTCCTAGAATTTCATTCATTATGGGAATTTTTCTCTTGCAATGTAAAAAAAAAAGAGAAAATAATATATAAATTTCTCCATATCTGACTGACTAACATACCTCATGAGATGTCTGTGTAAATACTTCATTTGTTCAGTGTGGTGCAAAAAATCAACAGCCCAAGTACTTTACAGTGCTAATATTATCCTTCCAAGTGAAACTCTATCCTTGAGGGAAGCAAAGGAGGGAGGGATGGGCATGAGAAGAGAAGAGAAGATGTTAGACAGGCCCCATTGTGAGTTATGTGAGTGTTATGGCAACTGTGCCAGGTGGCAAGAAAGGTTCAAAAATTCTGTTGGCAGGGTGACAGTAAGGTCAGTAAGGGGGATGGGGAGAGAAGGAGTGAGGAAATCCTCTTGTAAACAATATTTGTGTGTGTAGAATGAGATTTGAGTACCTTGTACTCCCAAAGTGAAGGAATACACCTACCCATTCATTTAGTTTATTGAGTTGGCATGCTTTATAATGAATGTAGGATGACTTCATGCATTTTTTAAATAAACTTTCTATGTCTAGACTTACTTTTCCAGATGCATTCTATGGGATTATGTGCACAATGATAACATTCCATTGGATACATAAGCCCATAGAATGTATCTGGGCCTAGTTGGACTTGTCTGAAGTTATTTGATTTGATTTGATTTTTATTGTCATTCCTGTAGGATGCCATGGCAAGGAGATTCAGAGGTTTTAATTGACCGCTTTGATGGCAGAGCTCACCTTGATTACATTCCTGAGCATAAGTCATCTCCAGATGTTTTGCCTCCAACTGAACTAGAAGAGCGACAGGCCAATTATGAGCGCTATCGGATTCTTGTTCAGAATGAATTCTTGGGTGGTAAGTTGCAAGTCCCTCCCTTTGGAGTTTTTCCTTTGACAGTGAGTACAGTATGTATTTGGGATATCTTTTGCATAGTGGCTGAGGAGAAGTACCTACAGCAAATATACCTTGAAGAAAAGTTTGGTGTGATTCCCAAGACTGGAGAGGAGGAGAAGAAAAAGCAGCTTGCAGATAAGAGAGCAGCCATTCCATATAATTATGATGAGGGCCCACCTGGTCCCACCCCCAAAGATTCTACTTTGCCATCATCATCTTCCAAAGAGCAGAATGGAGATGAAGATGATTCAGACCTCAGTGATATTGATCTCGGTAGCTGCCCTTCAGTGATGTGGGATCATTAAGTTTCTTGATTTTGTTATTAGTAAAGGTATAATCTTTCCTTTCTTTATCCAGATATATGCATTGATGTGACACAACTAGTCACAGACCAGTGTGAAGAGATGAATGGCCAAGCCCACAAGTATGGAATTTTGGAGAAGGACTATATCCATTATCTACTGAAGGACCATGAAGAGCAAGAAGCTTTGAGGCAAGCCAAGCTTGAGGAAGAAGAGAAAGCAGCTCTTTCTGTGAGAGGAATTCTCTTGGCTATCATCCATTGTACACTTTGGTGATTGTATTCTTTTCTGATGTTACTTTATTTGTATGGTACTCAGGGGAAGAAAGCCAGGCGTGAGAGGAGGCTAATACGGGAGAAGAAACTTGTAAATATGATACGGAGGAACAGCCCTCTCAGGTGAGATTATGGTCCCTGGAGTTCATGGTACACTTTGGTTTCCCATGTTTTGAACAACTTCCTATTATTTGATTTGAGTTGTGAAGGTGCTTTTTTAATGACCATAACGTTTTTACCGACAGCTTTGTCATACATGATCAGTACTGGTGAATCGGAGGGATTACATGCTTTTGCTGGGTGACAATTTAAAAAATTCATTTTATTCTATGCATTATATGGTAGTGATGTTTCTTATGCAGTTACAGAGATTTTGATGACTCATACCCTGCATATTCCTGATCTGTAGCTCTGAAGCTTTATTGCAAGGCATAATAGTCAATGGTGCATTACACTGAAATTGCAGGGCAAGTTTACCCCTTCCAATGCCATTTCCCATCTTCATTGCTCACATTTTTCTTCTTGCATAATCTTCACTATTATTTTATCCCCTCTTTTTGTCAATATTCCTGGAAGTTATGATTAATTTCAGTTCAATTTCACCTTCTGCTACTATTGGAGGGTTGAAGTTGCAGAGGAACTTCCCCCCTTTTGTTCTGGCAGTAAATGTTGCTATAGTAAGTTTGATGTAATGCATGGAATCAAACTTGGATGTCTTTTTGTCATTAGATGACACTGTGTACTCAACCTGCTTGAAGTAATGAGCTTGGACTTGGACTGAGCTTGTTCTTTCTTGTAGGGATCTCAATTTTCTCAGTGAGAAGGTTCTGCTGACCATTTAGTACTTCAGAATGTTTAAAAGTTCCAATGATGAGAGAATGTCTTAGAAAAATGTTTTCTTTCAATTGAGCAGCTAGCATGCTATCACTTTATCATTTTCAGGGATACTTTTTGGAGGCCTCTCTTTTGTTACTAGACTTAGTTTCTGGGGGGAGGCTGTCCTAGTCTGGTACTGTTCTAAGGAACAAAATATTTGTATTAAAAAAAAAGTACTTCTTGTAGGAATATAGGTGAGAACAATTCATAGGAGGTCTTGGTGGGTTATGCTAGATGTCAGCAATCATTTCAGTCAAGGTTACAATTTTCATGGATGGTATTGTATAAGAAAGACTTTGAAGCATTCTGTCTTCTTCCCTCTAAGGTCTTATTCTGCTCAATTGTTCCATTTCCCTTAGAAATGGAACCTTTGAGACCTATTCTAGAACATGCTTCAGAAATGAGGCATGTTTAACACGTTGGCGACAATGCGTCCTGATGCCAGGATGCAGATTTTTTTCCAATGAATACCCTCTGGAACTGTTGAGAACGTTCCAGAAGATTATGATTTCGTAATTAGTGATAAAAATTCCAAAAAATTCAACATTTTAAAAAAACTCGGCAAAAAAAATGTTTTCTGGGACCATGTGTCCTGATGGCAGGACGCATTTTTTGACAAAAAAATGCGCGTGGTCCCACGCGGCGGACAAGCAAAAATAGGCTGGTCGTCAACGTGTTAAGGATAGGTCTCATAATGGATGAGAAAGCAATTGCCATGGCTTCAGTCTAGGTTTTCTTCAATGGTGCAGAGTTGCATCCTTGCAGTCTGAGTGCAATAAATCAGGATTAAGACTACAGTTATGCAGACTATTTTCATAAATCCAATATATTTGATCTCAAATGGCAGAATCACCAAATCTTAGTAAGCACAAGTGTGGACCTTCTCAGTTGGCCAAGTTTCAAGATTACTCTTGAGTCAGCTGCTGTTGCCAGTGTTGGCCAATTTCTTATACCTTTAAAAATATTGTTATATAGAATCACGATAAAATATAAATGTTCCTGAGAGCTCATTTTGATTGAAAGAGATTTGCAAGAAATATGGTGTAAAAATTACCATTTCCATATTCTAAATCCCATTTTATGGCAAATTTCCTCAGCTCTTCTACCTTTACTGCTGACACTTCTTATTTCTGACACTAAGGCCAGTGTCAAAGTGAAAAATTTTAAGGAAAATATAAGGAAGCCATTTGGAATATATATATATATATATATATATATCAATTAAGCCACTAACAAGATACATGAGTTAAGACTTTCCAAATTGCTTCCTTATATTTTCCTTTAAAATTTTCACCTATATATATATATATATATATAACCAAACCAACGGATGCAGAATGTATGATGGACACTGAAGTGTTTTCCAAGCACTGGTCAAATTTGTGTTTTGTCATTGAAGAACCCTAATGATGAAAATTGTCTAACTTAAGCTGAAATGCTGATCCCACAGTTAAAGTTGGTTTATGTGGGTTTGTTGTGTTTCATTACAGCTATGCAGCAAGGGAGAGCCCGACCTATGACCCCTACAATGCAATTCGTAGCATTGACCGCAGTTCTCATTCACGTTCCCGCTCCCGTTCCAACTCTCCCAGTCAGAAGGCTGGTGCAGTGACTTTCATCACCAGCTTTGGTGGAGAGGAGTCAGATGCATCGGATGCAGGTGGCCCAGCCCGGGGGCCCTCGTTCAGTCGTGTTAAAGTGGACTCACGAAGCCGGTCTGTAATCACTCATTTTATCTTGTCGACAATGAGAACACTTAGCAGTAAGCACGACCTCTTTCTCTTAATTAAAACAAAGAAAGAGGGTGTGAATAATTAGGTTCTACTTGACTGGGTGGATGGTGAGTTTCCCAAATTGAACTCTCAGGCTGCTATTAGATGTGATCAGTGAATCAATGGTAATTTGCAATCCTGTATGCTTTGATGAGACCTGAAGTGAATTTGGCCCAACAGGTCCAAAGGAACCACCAGAAGTCGACGTCATCCTTCCCCCAAACGATCGAGGAGGCGGTCGTCTTCCCACAGCCGTTCGTCTCGACGACGCACCCGCAGTCGATCGTATTCTAGGTCTTATTCCAAGTCACCCCGAAGGAGGTCAGATGCTGATTTTTTTTCTACAGTTTCATCCCCTTCGCTTCACCCCTCATATCTGGGTCCTGTGATGGATTAAAGGCATTGGTCATTGGTTAGGAAAGTATTTTCCTGGAGTGTGGATGGGTCCTTGTTATAGGTCTAGGTCTGGTTCCAGAGCAGGGAAGTCTAGGTCAAAGTCCAAGTCTCCTTCACCTCATACAGCCAAACTACCCAGCCCTCCACGTAGACGATATTATGGCCGCAAGAAAGAAGAGGCATCTTCGAGTGACCTCTCTGTCTCTGAAGATGAGGGACCTGCCAGTAAAGAGAAACCAGCTTCCACATCAAAGCCTGTCCCTAAGTGAGATTCTTCTTTCAGGCATATGGTATTCCCCCTTCATGCAGGAGAGTTAAATAGTTTCTGCTCTCTCCCTTTCTTAGCAGGGTTCCTGGTCCCTCTGTGAGTAATGCTGGAGCTGCATCCAAAGTCAGTAAGAATTCTGGCTTCCTCTGTCCACATTTGAATTGAGATGCACTCACTAATTTTGAAGCATATAACATGTAAATGTGGAAAAATGCTAAGTCTATAGAAAATACTATTGTGATGTGATTAATGGCATATTTGGTGCTAGGTATTTCCTGTTATATTTTGAGAAGATTGTACATTAAATACACAGGGAATGATATGGTAGGTTTGGCATGATGTAACTTCTGCTAGTTTGGAAGAACATGAAAATCAGTTTAAGAGAATCAAGAAAGCTTGGATAACATATCCTTCTTAGAGAGACTCCCTTCTCCTTGCATCTTCTATGGCTGAAATATTCCATTGATTGCTGAACATCTTGTGACAGCATTAAATTGCAAATCATTGGAAAGGTGCTTTCCCATGTAATGGAAATCAATGTTGTGGCCATGGAATGATGTGTATTCAAGGAAACATGTTGGATTGTTGCCTGTTTAAGAAGGTACAGTGACCATGGAGTATTTTATTGGAGTAGAAGCTTATATGGAAACATGAGCTTACTTAATGGTCAGATGCTGTCATTGAATGAGAGTGATATTCTTTAGACATGAGATGCTTCAAGATGAGTCAACTGTGAAAGTTTCTCAAAAATATGCATTGTTAACAGTGTGCACTTGGCACAATGCCAAGAGTATCATTAAGTGCTCACATAATATGAAGTGCTGAACTGAAAACTAAAATATTAGGAGAAAAAAAGTGAATGCCTTGGAAAAATGGTAATGTACATAGTTACCTTTTCCTTCCATTGCAGGTAATAATTTCTTTGATTAATTTAAGAGGGAACATATTGTCCTATCAACATGCCACTTTTTCTTGCTTTTGAAGCAGGCAGTCATTGGAGATTTCTGTCTCTTTCTCTTGAGTTTGGTCAATGATTTTTTGCGAATAGTCCAGTTTTCCTTTCAGCCCTTCATATGACAAGTGTCTAATTTTGCTGCTCAGTATTCAAATCTTGGACTTTCCATTACAGGTTGGAAGCAAAATGACACCTCAAGAGCGCCTGCGGCGTAAAATGCAGCTACAATTGAAGAGGCAATGTAAGTTTTGAGGTGGTTTCTTAGTGAGGAAGGTCCCATCTCTCTCCTAATTGTCATTATTCCATTTGACTTATTACAGATAAGGCAGACAAAAGAGCTGAACTGGAGAAGGAAGAAAAGCGGATGCAGGAGTTGCAGGATCGACAAGAGGAGATGCGTGAGATGGCACTCCGTCTCAAAAAGCGGTAAGCAGCATCTTGTTCTTTGTAGTTATCTAGGCCAAGCATCCAACCATCCAGGAGTGCTATGTCTCTGGATATTGTGCTAACAAGATGTTCTCATTTGGAAGGATAAGAATTCTCAGGAACATATTTGCTGCTTGAATGCAATTCCCTCCCAAAGAGATTGGGATTAGCTGATATGGTGCCTTCATGAGACATTCCTTGAAAACTGATAAATACAGTGAAAAAGTATTTAACCAAACCAAAAAGTATTAGTGGTGCCAAAAATTCCTACAGGGGCTTATTCCCCCTATCTACTTATTGCAACAAAAAAAGAGGAAATATTCAGTTTATTGGAGTTCTAAAGAAATGGAGAAGTTACTTTCTCATTAAGTGTCAGTTCAAGAAATCTCATAATTTCATCTGTGTTGCTGGTAATGCTATTCTCTTAAATATATATTCTGTAGTGAATATGTAAATAAATTTTGCTTGGACACCTGCATGTCCAGCAGGAGCTCTGAAAGGAAAAAGGATCAGTGCAGGTCTGATGAAGAAACAAGGAAAAAAGGATTCCTTTTCAAGAGTTAGTGGCTTATGATCATGCTCATGATGAAGACACCAGATGCAACTCATAAATAAGCCCTTATGTTGTAAATGCTGTTCCAAGCCTGTAAATACATATTAAGCCAAAACCTTCATTGAATTGTCCTGTTCAGTACAGGTTTTGGTTTAATATGTATTTACATACTGTAGATCATTTTTAATTTGCTGTTTCCATACTAATTGATATGCATGAGGGTGGTTCAATACTTAGCTGCACTTTTCATTCCAGAAAGTCTATTATGGTACATCTGATCTCTATCAAACTACGCATACTTCTCGAGGTATTCCCCTCCTCCATGGACGTACTTGTCTCATTGCTCTGGCAACACCTGAACGCCAGAGACATTTGAATGCTTGTGGTTGAGTGTGCAGCCATTTCACCACTTCATCATTGCTTTGAATTCCTTTGGCTGAGGCGATGTGGGATGTCGCCTTTGCATGCTTGAACGTTTTCATACTAACGTTAAATGATGATTCCACATTTCATCACTCATCAAAGTGTGGTTGAGGATGTTGTCTTTCTCTTTGTCATAGCAGTTGAAATGGTCTGATGCGGCTCTCACTCTGTTAGCTTTCTGTTTAAATGTCAGTTCTCTGGGCACCTATCTCATAGTCACCTCTTTGAACTTGAAGAAAGTGTGGATAATGTTTTAGACACCCCCAATGTTGACGTTTAGTTGCGCTGCAAAATCATGCACGGTGATGCAGCGATTTTCTAGAATCAATTGTTCAATTTGCAGATATCCACAGGATTCACAACAGTCTAGGACGGGTGGCCACGCTCAAGGAATTGTAAAGGATTCTTGGCTGTCTTGAAATTTCTTGCATGATCAGATACACTTCTCTCTAGACAGTTTCCCCAAACTGTGCTTGTCATCTTCGAAAAGTATCATCCTCCTTCATGTTCTCTTCCCCGTGGAATTTTATTATACAACGCTGTTTAAGCCCGGAGGATATACCATCAGACGCTATGTTCTTCACGTTCAATTGCGCATGCACTACGGTTGCCAGTCTTGGCATAAATCATATTAAAGATTGGGGGCTATCTGTCATATTAGGCTTTCAGACTTTTTTCTATCCTATTTATTTTCTAGAATAGAAAGTGCAGGTAAGTATTGAACCACCCTTGTATTTATGCATTTTGAAGTGGCACTGGTACAACTCTTTTCTGATATAATGCACTTTATTGAAATGAAATAGCTCTTACCCAATAACTTTGATGGCAGCACAAGGTAGGAGATTTGAAGTTGTGAAAACATTCTGACGTGCTTCCTATTAAATTTCTTATTTTTATAAAAAATTGTTCTTCAAGGGCTTAGACAGTAGCACCCATTAAATAAAGTAAGGATTGAAATGGTCAATAATGATTGAAATTGATGTTCAATGTTGTATTTGTATTGGTATTCTCCCCTTTTTCTCATTGACTATTCACTGATGTGACAGTTACTCATAGTTTTCTATCGAAGGAATGGAAATTTGAATGAAATTACGGCAAAAGTAAAATGCTTGGCAGCTTATGTTAGTGGGAGTTTGACTTCCACAATAGGCCTCCTCTTGTTAGGCTTATGTATGATCTTTTATTAATTATTTGGCTATATTTACAATAACTAGCTTAGATTGGGCCTTTTTGTCAGCTTGATTGCTAAATCATATTTAATTATGAAACTCTCTTGTTCCTACTGAGACAGCAAACTGTGATGCATTGAACCCTACTGCAGGTGCAGGTGCTCACTGCCTGATGTCAATCTTGTTATGGTATATTCATGCAGGTTTTTGTGAAGAAATGCAAATTCAGAATGTCTGAATGGCTCAAATGAGCTTGTCGATGTTAATGATGAATGATTCTGGAATGAAACATTCTTTCTTAAACCTACATGCTATGCTTCTATTTTAGGAGAGTCATTATTGGGCTTGCAGTCATTGAGAGACTCCAGGCATGATTCTAAGTGGAGAAAAACCCATTTAATAGTGAGAATCTGACATTTCTTTCTCTTCTTTGTAGGCATCACCACAATGGAGATTCCTCATGCAGTGCCTCAAGTGGAAGTGACTCAGAACGCTCCAGTGAAAGGGCCTACAAACGTCGCAAGGGCAGAAGGCGAAGTCACTCGAGCAATTCGAGATCCAGATCTCAGTCCAGGTCACGACCCAGGTCGCGATCGAGATCGGCATCCCGATCTCGTTCGAGATCCAGGTCGAGAGCAAGAGCAAGAACAAGGTCCAGATCTAGGTCCAGGTCTTGGACTCGATCCCGATCCCGTTCGAGATCCAAGTCCCGGTCTCGGTCTCGGTCTCCTCGAAGGTCCTCCGCTCGGGACAGAGGGTCCTATCGTGACTGGGATCAAGGATGGCATGGAGGCTACAATGATGGCTACAATGACCATGGATACCATGGCAATGATCGCCACTATGACAAATATCGTGCAAATCAATACGATGACCGCGGTCGACCTTCGTACGGTCACCGAGGACGGGATCTCGGGAATGATCATAGGCGAGAGTTCAGGGATCGTTCGAGACGGTGAGCATCTTGTCAAATTGCTAAGTTTCCATTCTGCAGCCATTGGTTGCATTTGGTTAATGGGTGGGGGAATGAGACTAGCACAGGAAATACTTGGCATTGGCTCTGAATGATCTGATAATTTTTTTCCAATGGTTGCTTATAATAGTGATTTGGTATAATTGGAAGAGGATGTGGGAGAGAACCTCTGGCTTTAGTAGTCATGCCCCTTTCATCAAAGGGAATGGTGAAAGCATCACTGTCTTCAATCTGATTTGGGAATCCTTTCTGGAGATAGTTTCCTTGAACATATGTATATTCACCTGACTTGGTGACTTGGAATTTATCATCTGTTTCGGTGAATCCATGGCACAAAGCACTTAATTACAGAATGTACCCATCTTCTTACAACGAGGTGTAATACAGCCTTGTAAGATTGCAGCACAGAATGTTCCTTTTCAGTGCAGTAAGTCACTTTCTTTTGATACCCCACTGATCTTTATGAGGTTATTGATGGTTTTTTTTCTAACCTTTGGTAAGTGATCAGATGCAACCAGAATGGTTGCTTATTTCATAGATGAAAAGAGGAAGAAAATTGTTGCATGCATGGGAGTGATTCAAGGTTCAGTGGAAAGCCACCCAAGGTGTAACTATGAAAAAGCAAGAAAATATGGCTTTGGTATTTAAGAAACAGCATTGTGGATATTGTATTATTCTTACAATATTTATGTTTGTACTTAGCATCTTAAAAATCAAATTGTGTTTTTGATATTGAGATTAATGCAGAGGGTATTGTAATATCCATAAATATAAAACATGAGTTATAGCTTAAGAAATTGCTATATATGCAATTGCAGTACAGCAAATAAATTATGCACATTAAATGTCTGTAGAGTGTTTATTTAAACTATGACCAGAACCCTTTCTTTTCTTCGTCCTTGAAAAAATATTACTTTTTTTTTAGTTCAATACCTTTTAAAGTTTTAATAAAAGGAGATAATGACAATGTAGAGTACTCCATGATGCTCACAAAATAGTTACAAAGGGCATCTTTCATGTTGCTTTGCTTATATATTGTGGTTTAGTTGCTTTCTATGTTGCTTTTCCCTAAATCTGCTTGGTTCAATCACCATGATCCAATTTGCACGTCATTTTCAGTGGCCACCACAAAGAAAAAGAATTGACAAACTGTCAGATGTTTGGTTAACATGGCTCAATGGAGACTCCAAAGAAGCATTGTCCATTCATGCAACAATCTTCATTTGCTGCTCCTCTTTAATATGGAGCCTTTCTGCTCTAATCTTATCACCTGAAAAAGAAAATAAGGATCATTAACTCCCTTAAGGTCAATGGGGTATGTGGAAAAGGAGTTCCATGTACATTCTTTCTGTGATCACAATACTTGTTTCTTCATAAGCCTGAGGTGTAGGTCAACCCAAAATTACCTACCAACTGTCTCCCATTCTCATTAGGTGAAAGTTATTGGAACATGAAAGTCCAATGAATATGTTATACAGTCAAGTCTTGTTGATTCAGACTTCAGAGGACCAGACTTTTGCTAGGATTAATTGATTATCTGGATTAATTTAAACCTGGCAGAATAACCCCTTTTTCAATTTTTAAATGTTAATGGCAATCATTGACAGTTCTTTCAACTAGTCACATCAAAGAAACCCCAATTTTTTCATTACTTTGACATGTGCAAAAAGTCTCTCTTGTTGCATGTTCAGTCATGCCCAGAACACTTACTCTTGAAGAATGGGAAGTAAGAAACTTGTTGAGGCTCTAATGGCCATGGGTGGATGAGGCTGATTGGGGAAAAGGGGGAGAAGACTGCAAAGAGTTAGTGTCTCATTGATGTGAGCAATCTCCATTGCCTGATTCAAGGAAAGAGCAAAGATTGAAGAAGATAAGAGTCTATTGTTTCCTGTCTCCCATTCCTGAGATGAGAGGAAAGAGGTGCAGGAAAGAGACTGATGCCACTTTCTTTTTGTCTTGTTTCATCCCTCCTACACCCAAGTCTGGATTCCTTGGGGAATGGCTTAAGGGACTCAAATAAGTTCTATGAGGTTTCTACTGGGACCATTCCTCTTACCACTGAATTAATGGGGATATCAGATTGCTGATGTCCAGATAAATTAGAGTTGACAGTGCTAGTCAGGGAAGGTGGAAGCCCTATTTGGTCAGTGCATGGCTATGACAATATGAAGGCGATGCTCCAAATGGAGCAATGACTCGGGGCTAGTGTTTCTCATTTGGATTAATTTCAAGTCAGTTATTCTATTTAGCACCTCACCATGCAAGAATAGTTTCATATAGGGAGGTTTTGATACCTTTTCCTTTATATTTCTTCTATCCAATGGTCATTTTTCATGTCTAATGATGATGCTTCCCAAAATTTACTGCTTCATTGACTTCAATATAATCTTCCTGATCTTCCAGCCCAGTCACCAAAAAAGACTGAGGTGCTGTAGCATTTGGGTCTTGTGTCTGTATGTCTGTCTGAGCTTCTTGGGTTTCTTCCTCCCTCGTTACAAATTAAGTTTTTATTATGTGCTTCCTGTTGTGGTTTGCTCTGTTCCATCTCAAAATTGGCACGATTGGTCACCTGAAAATCAACATGCTGCCATATAGATGTCGCTGATGAAAGTGTATCTGGTTTTTATCCACTAGAAGTGAACAAGCTGTTGTGGTTGTAGTGCTCACTGGATTTTACATTTTGTCGCTGAACCAAACCAATATTAGGTCAAACCTCAATATAATGCCTTTTCATTGACATTTTTGGACATGGGGATTGATCTCTACAGCTACACTCAGGACTCACCATTTGAGTTAGTACTGACATTTCAATTGGAAATGAAGTTTTCTATGATCACCCTGTGACCATGGAAAACATTCGTGGGTTAAAACCTTCGTTTTCACACTTGCCCTTTCCTCCTTTCAGTGGGTGATGACCTCCTATAAGGTCAAGTCAAGGAATATATATATTTTTTACTAATTACACCATGAGCAGTAATGGTATGAGAAGTGTGTAAATTTTCAGAGTTGGCAGTGAATATTAAAACTTGGTTTTGGCCTTTAGTTATATGGTCTCTGTTGCTCAAGGCTGCTTACTGCAGATCATCTGTAATGAAGTTGTCATTTTCATGCGTATTTTATTTTATTGTAGGAGGAAGTCCCGTTCCCCATCCCGATCTTCGTCGAGGTCCCGCTCCAGATCCCCTCGATTCAAGCTTGTTGATTACTGAACTCTACTCTTTCACGGTGGCTGAAATGAATTTTGCATGGATTCGAGCGAGGGCATGCGAATGTATGTATGTTTACGACAACCTGTTGTCTGACAGACACGTGTCCAACTTCTTTACTCGATATGGAAAATATGAGCCACTCATTTTTTTTAGCATTCCTTGTGATTTGTAATTTTCTCATGGTAATTTCAATATTGAATCGTCATTTGGGTGGGTGTCTGTCCGAGATCAGCGTTGCTCCTCCATCCAGTGGTCTTCTGCATACTTATGTTCACTTATGTTTGCTTCAGTTTCCTTGTGAATAAAAGGGGAAATTCTTGTGTATTGTGATGTTTTTTGCATTTCTCAGTATAGAATCGAAATTGCTTTGTATTATGCAGGAATGCTTTAATCTTTGTAGTTTGAGTTGTTGAATTCAGCGCTGACATCTGCCGAGTCTACATTCTTTCAAAATGCTGTGCTCGAGGAACAGATCGTATTCATTCCTCCAGAAATACATCCAAACAGGGCTTCTATCATTGGTGACTGTTGGCTGATTTGTGTCTCATTCTTAGTGTCCCTGTGCCCTGTAGTGCTCGAACCTATTCATTGTGTAGAAGTAGTGGAATCACTACGACGTCGCGGTGAAACGCGTTCCATAGGCAGACGAACTTCGTATATGCCGGGTGAAGCGTGAAAAGCGCGCTGCTCTTTGAAATTCTTTGAGCGTTCATAAGACCGCATGTAGCACAGCGAAGTTGTCATTACAAGTGACTGCAACTGTTTTCTCTAAGAATCCTTTATTTCTCGACCATTTTTGTCATTTTGTTCTCGCGCGAAGGAAAGTATTAGCGGGGGAACGGTCGCAAAGCGCACCAATTCAGGCCGAAATTCGCAAAAAAAAATTGCGAGTCCATCTGGAAAAAGGAAATGAAACGAGAAAAAATGTGCTCGTTTATTTCGTGTCCGTCCTCAAACGAGGCTTTCCTGTCTGTGAAAAATCCCAGATAACTTCTCATTTTATTAAAAATAAATAAAAGTATGAACACTGAGCGAACCAAGCTTTATTTTTGCGGACATCTCTGACGAGTATAGAATAATTTAGTCGTACAGAAAAGCTTTAAAAAATAAATTAAAAAAACGAGAACCGTAATAACACAAAAGTGGTTTCATAACCAAATTTCATTCGCCAGTGCATGGCGACGAGCAACCCAGTTTGCAGATCCGCTGCGATTTTCTGTTCTTGAACTTGGCAAAATTATTGCGGTTGAACGGGGTGAAAATTTTCGGGAAATTGGCGGAAATATTTATTTTTCTAAAATTAAACTGATGCATTTTTTTTTTGCACTGCCCCCTCGGCAACCCCTTGGCAACCCCATGGCAACCCTGATACGAGTCGAACGGAGTCGGAAGGCCGAAGTGGATTTCCGATTCATCCGAGACCGAAAATAGCCTTTGTTTGACCTTCGACCTTCATCGTAGGAACGCGCCGTTATCATCCGCTTAGTCACTCACTCCGACGAAGCTCTTAAAGGCTAAACCGGCTCTCGCGAACGTCCCGCGAGAGTCGCAGCAGGAAAGAGATTCAGAAAAACGGAAGAAAATTGCGTTTTCTCCCGTTTCGTCGAACTGGAGCGAGCGGATTTTTCGCGTGGGAGGCGAAAGCTTTTCCGCCCATCGAGATCATCCCGGGGGGGGCCAAGGGGGGCGGGGGCGGGGGCAAATGGGGCGATGGTGACACTCGATTCGCAAGACGAGAATCTCGTTGAGGGAGAATTCAGATCGAAATTCGTAAAGTTTGCGTGCGTTTTGCCATCGGAGTCTAATCCCGTCCCCGCCCATTTCCTTCCGGTACTCTCAGAATAAACGAATCCGATCGCAGCGCTATGCGGGGGCGGGGGCGGGGGCGGGGGGGGGGGGGGGGCCCACCCCGGGTTTTCTTTGGGGGGGGGGGGGGGGGGGGGGGGGGGGGGGGCCACCCTCGGTTTTTCTTTTGCGTTCTGCAGATTCCGTTCGTTTTTCGGTTTGATGCGTCAGGATTTTCGTTTTATTTCGCGGTGAAAAATCGGTTGCGAGTGTCGTCCGTCGGATCGCGGCGACGGGGAGAGAACGTGCGTCGTCACCGAATTTCCCTAATTTGCTCCCGCCGATTTCAGTGGACTCCTCGGTTTGTCTCATTTTAATTAGGAGCATCTCATTAATTAATAGTTTACTCTTCGCCGGACTCGGACAATTTCGCGCCGAATCGTTAGAAGCTGCAGGCCTTCACGCGAGCGAACGAAAGCGAAGCGCAAGCGAACGGAAGCGAAGCGACGAACCATCGCCCCACGACCGCCTCGAAATTCCACGTCGGACGGGCTCGGTCGCCCTCGCACTCCCGAGTCAGCCGCGACGGAAGGGACGCAAACGGACGCAAGCGGACGCAAGACGCGTTCGAGACATTTCGTGCATCGCCAGCACCACTTAAAAATTTTTTCTCCAGGGGAATTTGCCACACTCGTTCGAATCGAAATGCGAAGACGAATCGACGGGCAGAAAGGCGTCGACCCCAACGACCTCGGGAGTCCGAGGTCGACTGTCGTCGAACGAGACGAGGGAAACGACACGGCCGGGAACCCTCCGAAGCGACTCGGCGACAAAATTTCGACACGTCGGGTGTGTTCTTCGAGACTCGTGGGAAACCCGGTTGAGGTCGAAACCGCTCGTCGGCTGCCGACGGTCGACTCGTCGACGCGGGGCCGGTCGCACCGACTCCGAGTCCGACTCGCGCCGCCAATATTGCTTGCGTTGCTGGCTCCTTTTTGCAATTTTTCCGCCAGCGATTTTTTTCTTAGCATAAGGTTTTTTGCCGAAGTTCTCAAAATAAAAAGGTAATCGCATTTATTTGCCTGATAAGAGAAATAAAATCTGATTTCGTGCGGTTCAAACTTCGAAGGATGATCTCATGTGAGGGGATTATCTACGGGGATAATCCTCCCGAGCGCTAAGCGCGTGCAACATTTCTCGATCGTCGGAGTCGGTGCAACGATCGGCCTCCAATTGCCTCTGGCAATCGCTCAATATTTTCGTCGAATTCCGCGACGATCGCGGAAAATCCCGCGGAGTTGTTTTCGCCCCGCGTCGGTATGCGAAACATTCCCCGGCGGAAAAAAAGAAGCAATATATACCGCGAATATTGCACCCCGAATGCGATTGACCCCGACCGCGATGAGTCCGGACCGCAATAAGTTTCGCGAGGAGAAAACAAAAAAATCCCGTAGAATTTTTCATCACCGGCCGAGAACGAAATTGCCTCCGATCCGTCGGAGGCGATGATACGCCCGAAGAGTCTCGCTCCGACGTCACCGTCAGCGACCGTGCGGAGGCGAACACGGCCCGTCCGGGAACGACCGCGCGACGCTGCCGTCCTCGGATGGAGCTGGAGGGCACAGACGAAGGGGGAGGTGGAGGCGAAGGCGGAGGTTGAGATGGAGGCGGAGAGGAGGTAGAGGTGGAGGTGGAGGTGGAGGGGGAAGGGGAGGGGGAGGGGGAGGGGGTGGGGTGCGGGCGGGTCGCAGCCTCGACACGGCTTGCTCCGGGCTTTCACCCTCATCCCATCCCGAGAATCCGGCAAGGACGCCGGATTCTTGAGAGAGGGAGGAAAGGGGGGGGGGGGGGGGGCGAGAGGGCGGCCGCCTCTTCATCGGATCGGAAAAGTGATGGCATAAACTAATACAAAAGTGATTCGCGATGCCATCTCGCCTCGAACCGATCGCGGGAAGCGAAGAGAGGAAAGCGAAGCGAAGAGAGGAAAGCGAAGCGAAGAAAGGAAAGCGAAGAAAGGAAAGCGAAGCGAAGAAAGGAAAGCGAAGCGAAGAGAGGAAAGCGAAGCGAAGAAAGGAAAGCGAAGCGAAGAAAGGAAAGCGAAGCGAAGAAAGCAAATGGAGGAGTCGGATCGGAAGCGAGCGAAATCTCAGAGCGACGATCCACGTTTCCGCTTTACGGTATCTTAGGTTTCCTTTTCTCGTTGCCGCGTCGTCTCTACAAATCGCTGACGCCCGTGCATCAACGATTTCCCCACCGTTTTTCCGGAAAAAAAAAATTTCGGTTCTCGAAAACTCCTCGAAGACGAACCGGACGCATCGGCAAAACCTCTCCGCGACTTTTTAGATGCCATTTAGATGCCCAACAGCATCAAGGCCGATCGCATCTTTCCGATTTAAATTAATTTACTTATTATCACACTTTTATCATGTAAAACGACGAATCATTTTATCAAACTTAGTTCCGATTGAAATCCCCCCAAGAAACCCACCGCGCTCCGCCCTCGCCGCCGCGCTCCGCTCCTCCCCCCGCTCGCGAACCGCCCCAAAATCACCGACCCTCGACTCATCCAACCCCCATCCGACCGAAAGCACCTCGCATTTCCTCCAACCGCTTCGCCCCACCGTGCAAACACGTGGAAACTTGCTCCCATTTCACGCTCAACGCAACCAATCCTTGAATTGGACCTCGATCAAAGTCCACCCCAAGAACCACAACCCACCCCAACCCCAACAGCAAAAGAACCAGACCCCGCCCCCCCTCCCCCCCCCCCCCCCCAGCCAAGTAAAGCTGAGAGGAAGGAAGCAGAGGACATGCATGCACATACACCCGACGGGACGACGAAAAATGAGTGATGAAGGGAAGGGAAGGGAGAATTCATTTTCCTCCAGCCTTTTCCTTCCATTAAAAACCCCCTTCCTTCCCTAATGGATCCTCCTACGGCACACACGCGTCCATTACAGGCCCCTTCGGATCCTCCAGGCCCCCCCTTCGAATCCTCCAGGCCCCTCCTGCCCTGCGGGAAACGAAAACGCGCTTCCATTTCGGACGATGAAAAATTGAAGCCTTTTTTCAAAAATTCAACGCTCCCCTCCATCTTTCCTCGGAATCAATCTTTGATGCGAGGAGGGAAAAAAAAAATAATAAAAAAATAAAAAAATAAAATAAATAAATAAATAAATAAATAAATAAAAAATATATATATATCCGTGTCCCCGTCATTTATTTATTCCTCTAATTTCCCCCCCTCCATCTTTATTTTTAAAATCTCAAATTATTTATTTCTCGTGCTCGAAAAAAAAAATTCAACCCGCCCAATCCAATTTAATCAAATTGAAGCATCTCCCGAGAAAGGGGCGACGAAAAACGCGACAAGAAACGCGACGAGAGAAAGGCAACAAGCGAAAGGCGACGAGATAGGTCGATGATTGATGAATGACCCGACGGGAATGGCACGGCCCGGGATTGGCAAAGTTTTTCATCCCCGCCTGGATGCGAAACGCGATCAAGATGAATGGAAGAGTTGAGG